TTTCATGTTGCTGCTGATCTGTTTCATGTTGCTGCTGATCTGTTTCAATGTTGATGTGTTCATGCGTGCACATCTGCTCACAGACTCATGTTCATGTTTGTGGTGATGTTCAATGTTTTATGTTATGAGTGCTTAGTGTATATTTAGTTGATGTTTTTCTTAGTTCATATCTTAGATGTTATTACTGTTTTTCTTATACATTTTATTGTTGGATGTAACTGGGACCCTGTGTACATAATTTCGCTCCACCACATGTACCACATGAGGTGCGAATGACAATAAAGAAACTCTGACTCTGACTCTGACTCTGATGTTAGGCTGATTGGTAACTCTAAATAGTCCCTAGGTGTGAGTGAGAGAGTGAATGGTTGTTTGTCTCGTTTGTCTCTTTGTGGCCCTGTGATGGACTTGCGACCCGTCCAGGGTGTACCCCGCCCCTCGCACAGTGATTGCTGGACATGGGCACCAGCGACCCCCGTGACCCAAAATGGAATAAGCGGGTAAAGATAACGGATGGATGGATGGATAATGTCAATAGAAACAGCAAAGCAAATATGTCCTTGTTTTTAGTATTTTACCTCGTTTTATAAGGCACCTTAATTTTATAGTTTTATAAAACCCCTTTTTATTTTAATTGCATTTTGTTGTAGTTTATTGTCTGTCTAAAACAGGTCTCTCTTGAAAAAGAGTCCTTGTGACTCACTGAGACTAACCTGTATAAATAAAGGTTGAATGAGTGTGTCAAGCAGCAAGAATTCAATTCAGTTTATTTATATAGCGCCACGTCACAACAGAAGTTATCTCAGGGCACTGAGCAGAACCATTCAGACATATAAAAGTAATTTAACACCATTTATCTGAGGCGCAGACTGCTTTGAGTTTAACTCCATCGCAGAACGCTCATCTTGAGCAAGCACGAAGGCGACAGTGGAAAGGAAAAACTTCCTCATGAGGAAGAAACCTTTAGCAGAACCAGGCTCAGGACAAGCGTCCATCTGCTTCGACTGGCTGGGTTTGAGACAGATGTAACTTAAAGGTTCAAATATTTCTGAGTTGGCTTAATCTTCTATTGGTGTAAAGTGTAAAATTGATACCACATTATCATCTCTAGTAAATCTATCATATATAGTTCATAAGAGCAAATAGAAAGAAAATTTAAGATGATTTGTACCAATGTCCTCATTGTGGTCTAGTTGTATTCCTGCCTGCTGAGTTGGAGGCCTTGCAAGAATCTCTTGTCCGTACAAAAAGCTACGCACCCAGAAAACCTTGTCTCTGCAGTATTCCAGGTCAGAGGTGATGTTGACTTTCTTTGAGCGCTCGCCGCTGGACCAAGTGTTAAGGAATGACAAAGTCCACAGAATCCAGCCATGCTTTCAGAGTCCAATCAAGATATCAGGTAAATGTACTTATGTAACTAGAAAAACAACAACAAGAATATTTATCATCTGCTGTCATCCCCCAATTCCAAGATAACAAGTGATGGAACATTGTTCTCTGTAGAAATCATGCGGTCCAATGGATTCTGCCTGGCCAATACAGAAACCATTGTGTTTGACCACAGCATCCCAGAAGAAAAAGAGAGGCCTTCATCGACAGACTCCGTGGAACATACGTGAGTATTGTGAAAACGAAAAAGATTATTTTTATCTACTTCCAAACTAAGCTATGATTATGTTAACCTTTGACCTTTAAATACTCAGTAAGCTCAATTCTTAGATATTGACTCAAAATGAGTCAACTTGGCATGAAGTTGGCTGAAGTCTTACTATTATCAAGTTTCATTTGAGTCGTTGAGAGTTCCCTAAAATTGACCCTCCACCCACTTGAAACTAGACAGGAAGTGTGTCTGTACACCTCTTCCTTCCTTTTTTGTGTTGGAAGCAAAAGAGGAACACATTCCTTCTGGTGCTTAACACAAAACAGTTTTTTCCTCTCCCGTCACAAACTGAAGATTTTTAATACCGTGACCTTGTCCGCATGGGTTATGTGCCTTTTACAGTTTACATAGGTTCTAAAACAGCTAACGTTGGTTACATTACTCTTTAGATATTATGCTATTTTTTGCAGGTATGAGGACGAACCAGAATTTTTGCCAATGGAAGCTGAAGTATGCGACGAGGAAACAGAAGCATATGTCACCAACTTGTCCTACTACCATCTGGTCCCATTTGAAACTGACATCCTTGAATGAAGTGGATCAATATCTTTTTAATGAAACCAAACTATGCAACACTTAGCTGCTCCATTTCAATGCTGCTGCGTGTCCCAATAGCCTTTACAGCTGCTTAGGTTTCTCAGAGGATGCTCCAAGACTGTGGAGGAAACAGCATCACTGCTCAATCCATTTTATGGAACATAAACCAGCGTGCCTCATCCGGAGCCTTATGTCTTTTATCGTCTGCCTGCACAGGACTTTGAGCTGAGGCAGTTTGATTGTGGCAGCAACAAAGGATCTGCACAGCAACATTTATATCAAAAGAATGCATCCTACATGGTGGCTTCAGCAGAACTGAATTCAAATCTAATATATCGGTGTTTGCTGTTTGGAGTATGACGGTGACAGCTGGATACAGGCTGCACGTCTTCAGAAGTTTGGAAACACAACTTTAACTTAATGGGTCGTTTAAGTAATTAGCCAGAATTGTTTTAGTTACCTGTGTCATTTTCTCCGTCTCATTTACTTTCCTATTGTCTGCTCCTTAAAGAAATAGTTCAGATCTTTGAAAGTGGAGTTCTCTAACAGTGTTGCGAACAATGATAACTTTAGCTTTAGCTAGCTGTTTGAACTTTCTCCATTTAAAGAAATGGGGCTCAACTCTGACTCGATTAAAGAGCTAACAGTGAATCTGAGCAGGGCCAAGGCTTACCAGTATCAGAGTCAGAGAGATTTATTAGTCATTCGTATCTCATGTGGTACATGCGGTGGAATGGGATTATGTAAGCAGGGTCCAGTTACATCCAACAATAAAATGTAAAAGAAAAACAGTAATAAGATCTAAAATATGAACTAAAACATCAAATAAAAATACACTAAGCACTAGTAGTATAAAAACATTACGCCGAACAGCAGCACGAACATGAGTCTGTGTGAGCAGATGAGCATGAATGAACACAGCAACATGGAAACAGATCAGCAGCAACATGAAACAGATCAGCAGCAACATGAAACAGATCAGCAGCAACATGAAACAGATCAGCAGCAACATGATGTGATTCTTCACAGTGATTATTCTGATTAGAGATTCATGAGTCTAACAGCCTCAGGGTAGAAGCTGTTCCTCAGTCTAGTGGTTCTACACTTAATGCTCCTTAACCTCCTTCCTTAGGGGAGCGAGGCAAAAAGTGTGTGTGCTGGGTGAGTGGGGTCCTTCATGATGCAGGTGGCCCTCTTCCTGCATCTAGAGGTGTAAATGTCTGTGATGGTGGGGAGGCTGACTCCAACAGACTTCTGTGCAGTCTTCACCACTCTCTGCAAAGCTTTTCTTTCTGCAGCTGTGCAGCCTCCATGCCACACGTTGATGCTAGAGCACAGGTAGTGTTGTTTCCCCAACTGAAGTTGTCATTCAGGTGTACACCCAAGTACTTGTAGCTGGAGACCACTTCCACTGCAGACCCTCTTATGTTCAGGGGGGTGTAGGTGTGTTTGTTCCTTCTGAAGTCCACGATCATCTTTTTTGTCTTCTTCACATTGATGTGAAGGTTATTATTTTTGCACCAGGTCTCCAGGTATGTGGATGACTGCAAGCTTTTAATTTATTACAAAATAATTTTTGCCGTTCATGCAAGCCCAGTATTTTTAACTTTTACATTATCATGAATTTTGCATTGCATGTCAAAGTTCATGCTCAATAATCCAGGTAAAAACAATCCAACAAATTTCAGTTGTGTCATCTGGAAGGTTTCTTTGTCTTTATCTTTTTTCTTTTCTTTTCTTTAGACGTCTCATCCTTAATCCAAAGGACTTCATCAGTCTAAACTTAGTCCCACAAGCAGTACACTCACATTGTGGGAAAACCAGTTTGCTGGTGAAAAAGATGGATTCTGAGGCCCACCCTCTCTCCCGTCAACTCCTCTGAGGCATCCATAGCCAGAGTGTTTCAAAACATCAAAGTTCATGCCCAATAAACCAGGTAGAAAATCCAACAAAGTTCAGCCAGGTGATGTGTACCTGGTTTACTGAGCATGAACTTTGATGTTTTGAATCACTCTGGCTATGGATGCCTCAGAGGAGTTGACGGTGGAGAGGGTGGACCCTGGATGCCATCTTATCACCATAAAACTTGTTGGTTCATTATGGGAGTGTGCTGCTTGTGGGACTAAGTTTGTTGTGTCTCCTTGAACTGATGAAGTCCTTTGAATGAAGAAAACGTCTCAACCAAAAAAAAAAAAAGAAACCATCCAGATGACCTGACTGAACTTTGTTGGATTTGCATTGCACATTTTTTCCCATAAAGTTAATACAAGTGTATGTAACAGCATTTACTAGAGATTGGAGTTTTAAGATGGCACCAATCCACTTTGGTCTTTGCTGTGTTCTAACTAGCCGTTAGCTCGTCAATCTGATTATAATTCATTTGTATTTCTCAAAACTGAGGTTGTTCAAAGAAGCGTGTATATCCAGTAAGACAATAATTGTTTACAACTTTTTTCAAAGAACTCCATTTTAAATTATCTGAATTTTCCCTTTAATGCTGTTGGTCTTGTTCGCCCATAAATTTCATTCATGCATCCGCAGCTCCCATTGTTATCCCATCTGAACCACTCCCTGAAGTGTTAACCGCAGTATTACCTCTCTGAAAGTCTGTCATGAAGCTTTGTGTGTTTGTGTTACTGTTGTTTATGGTGCTACTTTCACCAGCATTCACTTTCAGAATGGGTTCCAGCTTAACGCTCATGTTTTGTTGCTTACTTCACATGCGTGGTGACACCATAGTTCTCTAAGGGCCAAGTGAAACTAAGCTACATTTGTTCTGGTGAGTAGCCACAAAGAAAAAAAAAAACCCTTAAAAGAATTTAACTGTGAGATTTTTGTTAGCATTAGGAGATTAATTTTAGTTGACAGACTCCCTTATTTCCTGGGAATATACGTCACATAATCATTTTATTGCTTAGATTTTTTTTAAATTTGTTTGTCTCAATGATAAATTATAGTTGTGTTAGATATGCAACTTGCAATGAATGCCTAATAAAAAGCATTTTCCAATCTAAAATATGAAGGCAAGTTGTGGAAATGACTTGAATAGAGATGACTTCACTGCCGTTGCCATCTGATGATGCAACAAGGCAACGACCGCTTTCTTTAATGGTGCTGATGAGGTCATTTGTGTCCCGTCCTCTGCACCGACATGAATCTGTGCAGGCAGTGAGTGTGGGAGTCTCCAGCTCGGCTTGGAATGTGCAGAACAAGTCTTTGCTTTATCTAAAGAAGACAAACAGCGTTGCTGTACAAAAGTTGTGTGAAGAGGCGAACAATTTAAAACTCAAGCCCTAATAAGTTTTATGAGTCTTTCCCTTCGTGTGGATGGAAGTTTCATTTTTCAGAAAAAGCTATACATGTAAATCTGTTGTTTATTTATCGTTGTTTATCAGGATCGCTGTGATTTTACAATGAAAGCAGAATTTAACCCTCACAAACTTGGAGCATAAACCCTGAACATGTCCTCTGTACGAGTCTTTTAGTAACAATGTTCTCTGTTCACCTCGTGAGAAAGTTAAGCTCTTTTAAAGGGTATACTTTCATGCTGTTTGTCATATTGTTGTTTGTTCAAAGTGATTTATTGGAGTAGCAGCACAATTGTTTATTTTAATTACCATTTCTAATAGAAAGTAGTTAAATATCAAAATAAATACATAATAACAAATGTAATTTTTGAAGAATGTTGCCTTTTTTTGTTGCAAGTTTATGTTTATATTATGATGCTACAGTCTTTGTGACATAGCATGGTTTTAGGAACAAAAACTCCAGTTTCATTAACATTTTAAACAAATCAATATGCTCATTGTGCGAACTGGATGTGCTTTGAGTCACAAGAACACATTAAATTACACAAACATTTAGATTTTTTATTGCTTACTCAAGACACTTTATGTGAAAATAGTGCGTTATGTTTATATTGATTTCTATGAGAAAATATCTGGTTCCTATGTAAATATGTCAAAATGGAGTTAAATGTAACTTTGAAAATGAGTTGTATGTGTTAACATATTTGATAGCTTTGAATAATTTTTGTTATTAGATATAAACTGTTACTCTGGAACATCCTAAAAGAAATAAACATGTTTTTAATAAACCATAGGGTGTTGATGTGTAGCAACAAAGCATAACAGACCTGTATAAAATAATACAAAGGGCTAGTAAGGAAGGAAAAGAAGCCAGTCAGAAGAGAAGTAAAGTACATTTAAACAGCTTCTAAACTCTGTTTTTCTCATACTTTTACCCCATGAACATTTCATTCAAGATAATTTCCTTGAAAAAGACAGGATAAAAAAAACTGTATGGATATATTTTGAGTACAGTTAAATTTGTGATGTCTTGATTTAAAACACAACTTCAACTTACTTTGTTTTTTTGTTGCCTTTTATCTCAGAGCGACATCTTGTGGCCAAACTTAGTAATTACACCCATTCTCGTTCAGAAACCACTAAAATACAACTGCTTTAAAATAATCACAATAGATTCAATAACAGAAAAAAATAACTGATTTTACATTTAGCATGCTTATTACGCTGCATCTTATCATAAACTAAATAACTTAAATTAATCACAATATCATATAATTGTGTTAATTAGACTAATTTATTGTTAATTACATGTGGTTAAAATAAATATTTAAAATAATTATTATAAAATAATCACAATATCATGTAAATTGTGCTATTTATAGACTAATTTATTGCTATTAGTGACACGTGCTTGAAATAAATATTTCAAATACTAATAGAAATGCTACCTCTAGCTGATTTCAATATACATAAATTGCCAATCAAATGATCAGAGTTCCATAAACAAGTGTTATTATACTGGAAAATGCTCTACGTACAAAATTACTCACCACACTCCACTATCATATGGAATAACAAATGTGTACTGTTTTGCAATAAGTAATTATTTTACAAAGACTGGATGGAGAGGAACATTGGTCTGTTGTACACTTACGCTAATGGTTACATGTTAAACTATGAACAATTCTGTGCAAAGTATAAATTCTATCCCCACAAAGTTGAATTTACCAGATTACTTAAAGCATTACCAAAACAATTTATTAATCAGATGCAAAATATAATAGCATGTCATCCTATAACCCCACAATTACCCACTCTATCTATTAATGGAATATCATTCTCTCAGTCCCAGAAACCCGTCGTAAGCTCAGAGGTGACAGGGCTTTCTCTGTTGCAGGTCCACGACTGTGGAATGAGTTGCCACTGAGTGTCCGGCAGGCTCCCACACTCTCAGTCTTTAAGTCTCGCTTGAAGACCCACTTCTATTCGCTTGCCTTTAACACGGTGTGATTTGTTTTGGTCCGGTCTGTTCTCTACTCTGTTGGCCATTTTAGTTAGCTTCTGCTGCTATTTGTATCTGTATTTCTATTTTATGTTTTCCTGTCCGCTGTGCATGTTTGTGTTCTTTTGTACAGCACTTTGGTTGGCCTTGTTGCTGTTTTAAGTGCTATATAAATAAATTGGTATGGTATGGTATGGTATCATTTACTGACAAAAAAATTAAACAACCACACAATTAGAAGCTGTCTAAATGAAACCTTATTCCCCGGGAAAATAAATAAAAATAATATACTTTGTAAATCTGACAAAAAAAAAAATCAATAGAAATGTTAAGAACTCTAAATTTAAAACTCCCCATACAACCAAAGGCTAAAGAAACACACTTTAAAATGTTTAATGCAGTTTACCCCTCCAAAGAGCTACTAAGAAATCGTTTTAATTTTGATGACAATAAATGCTGATTCTGTTAACAGGATATAGAAACAATAAACCATATCTTCTATGAATGCAACAAAACCAAAATATTCTGGAATCACTTAGAAAGATGGTTCACACTGAAAATTACACTTCCTGAATCTATTTCCAGAGACATGGCAACATTTGGAATATTATTGAAAAACAAAAGAATGGAACTCGGTTGTAATCTGATATTTTGTCTGGCAAACCCTTAACAAAAAGTAGTACATTTGGAGTTTATTTTTGCAAGTATACTTTAAGTTAAGTATTTCAAGTATACTACACACCATACTTGTAGTGTACTAGAAGTATACTGATTTAATACTTGTTTGGACCAAATTGGGACATTTTTATACTGTTTTTAAGTATATCAAATAAAGTTTATAAAAAGTAAACTTCAAGTACTCATTTTTAGTGTAAAATAAGTATACTTATAGTATACTTAAATAAACTACTTTTTGCTAAGGGAAATTCTTTAGTCATAAACAGAAAGTGCTAAAATCATCCCCAGTTTTTAATTTTTTTAAAATCTGAATTATATTTGAAATCTCTGAAATATATTGAAACACATGCACACCTGTATGAAATGTTAATGCAATTGCCCACTAATGCATGTTAATCCTAATCGTACAACATACAACCCCTTGTTGTAGTTTATTTCATTTTATTTCTTTTTTCTCTTTCTTTCTTTCCTTTTTTTTCATATTCTCTGTTATGCCCTTTTGAGAGTTACACTATTGTGAATTGTCATATTTGTTTGTACTTGTTTTTGCTAAATAAAGTTTAAATAAATAAATAAATAAATAAATATGCAGCTTCCTGACGCGCTTTCTCCGGCATGTTACGTAAACTGGCGCATGCGCAGCGAAGCCAGTTTTCGTAGCTGCATTTCCTGCTTGCTGTTTCCAACCGAAGCGATGGCAGAAGTGAAAGCTGCCTTGAGATATGGAGGTACGTTCTGTTTTTATTCGAGCAAGAAGGCTTTGCTACGTATGTCGTCACGTTTGGTGTGTAAAACAAGTCTTAAAGCTGCGTGTGTTGAAACGGGGGCTCAAACTGAGGCGTAGTTAGCTGAAGCAGCTAGTTTAGCCGGTGATGCTTCAGTGAGGTCTGGAGGAAAGCTGGAGGGCTGTGGTTGACACCGAAACAAAACGTGCACTTTGAGTTTTGTTTGCATTCTGTCATTACAGTTATAGCTGCTTTCTTAAGCTCCACGGTGCTCGCTTTTGTTGAAGATCTAGATGAAACGTAAGTGATGCACTTTATGAAATCATAGCTTCCTGTTTTAATCAACATGCAACTTCCGTGTAGGGATTCATACTGTGGGTGTTTGGTAGTGCTTTCTCTTCTGCTGCATTATTTGCTTTGACTATTTTCCAATTTGTCACAAAATTTAGCAGATAGTACTGGATTAGTTCTTATTTCTTCTTATAATACCTGTTTAATCTATAAATGCATGCATGCCAATTGTTTCCTTCTAAATGCATGATTTTAGATAAGTTGCAATGAATTGTTTGTCAGTGATTACACCAAAACAAATATTAAGCCACAATTTTTATAGCTAACCCACTCGTTTTGAGCTGTTGACCTTTAATTTCTTTCTATCTAAACATGCAAATGCCACTTGCGTTGCACACACAACTTCTTTTTCTTTGATTTCCCATTTGATTTTCACACCAATAAATATAGTTTCTTGTTCTCTGAAAACGTACACAAGGAAAATCAAAGTGTTCTCATGTTTTAGAAAACTTCTTTATTGGTAATAGAAAAATATTCTTAACTTAGTAGCAACTTTATTGCAAAAGTTGTTTTTATAGCGATGTAGTTGCTACTTTGTCCATTAATAAGTGACTCATTTTGCGTAAAAAAAAAAGGCAAGTCAGCATTATAATAAAATTGCTTGTCATATTTACTATCAAAACTGTAATAATTTGTTGTATTGTATTTTTTTTTTTAGGTTTAAAGATACCAGGTTGAATGAGATCTGGCTGGTTGATGTGAGTTTGATATCACACACACAAACACAAAGTGATTAGAGATTAGTGAGCTGAGGTTTATTCTGTATCCATCGCTCCTCTGTCTCGTTCATCCCTTGCGGAAATGAGAGCCGTCTGGATGGGATGTAATAAAGGAGACCGTCGTCTGTGTCAGTGAATGGTCAATGAGAAGTCATGCATGGTTCCCAAAGCCAGGGGGCTTGGAGGGGTTTATATCAGAGTTTGTGTCTGAGCCCATCAGAGGCAAAGTTGCTTTGACAGCTCATTTGGACTGCAGGAGTGGCTTCATCTATGTGGAAGCTTTATTATGTATTTGAGTTACCATTTCTCATATAGATCTGTTTGATAGGAGTTGTGTAATTTGTCACAGCTTGCCTTCGAAAGTTAAATCTGAACTAAATTAGGTGAACTAATCAACAGACATGTGAATGTAATGAATGAAAAGTAAATCTGTCAGTTTAAGTATTTCAAATAGCTTATTTTTGCACCCAAACTGGAATGATTAATAATTTAGACCTCTTCTTCATTTAAAGAAAAATCAAATGCATTCAGTATGAAGGCAATCTTATGTTCAGCATTTCCAGTTTGTGTGCATGCGTGCATCTTTACAGTACATTTATGTATATTTACTGACAACGTTGTTTGCTGATGGGCAAACATTCTGAAGCAAATAGCATCATGAGAGGCAGATTAAAAAAAAGCTGTGTTTACCTTGATATAATAACTAGACTTGAAAGTTGCTAGATGTAAAAATGATTGCAAACCATTTTATAGAAAACAACTTTCACTGTGACAAAAGTAACGTCAACAGTTAATTGCTTTGCAGATAAATGTTATTAATCACAGCTTGTCCCGTTTATTTAATGGCAATATAACAGTAAAACGGTACAGTATATTATAATACTTTGTCTACTTTTTTTCCGCTACCACATTTTCCAAGCATGTCTGTTTGATTACGCACTTTTTTTCTGTTCAAAACTTTTTTCTGTACCTTCACTAAAGCTTTAAAGTTGTTGCAACAAACATAACCACAAGGGCACATTATCAGGATTTTAATTAAACACAACACAACAATATTAAATTCACGTCAATTTCTTTACAAAATTCAAATCTCACGGCTCTTAAAACGGACTGTGAACAAGTTCAGTTTAAGTCCAATAATTTTAAAATGAGTTTAATTTTGATTAATAATCAATGCATCACTGCATAAATGAGTTAACTCAGTGTGTCCATTCAGGTCAACATGGCAAAATGTTTTGCTTTATAATTAAAATTTTGATTTTACATATGCGTGAGAATATGTCTTTTTAATTAAAAAATGTATTTTTTTATGGTGATCTTTTTCAGTTCTATGCCCCATGGTGTGGTTACTGTAAAAAGCTCGAGCCAATATGGCAGGAAGTGGGAGCGGAGCTGAAGAGCTCTGGGTCGCCGGTGCATGTTGGAAAGATGGACGCTACTGCTTACTCAGGTGAGAAAATCATCGGGCAGTTTAATATACATCCCCTCAAAGCTCGCATTCTTTCAAGTGTCGGACAAAGCGAGCGAGTGAGTGACAGGCTTTTGATTTACAAATGGATTCAGCTGTGATTGTGAAACGAGATTATAGTGATGTGTTTTTAATCAAGCATTGTAGGAAGTTGGGTCTCTCCAGCTTTCTAAAAGAATAAAATAGAATGGAATAGAAACAGCCTTTATTGTCCCACAGATGGGAGATTCAAGTGCAACAGCAGCAACAGATAAAAAGAGACGTAAAAAGGCCTCAGTTTACAGGCCAAAATTTAATTTACCTTCAAATATCAAGAAGCATTTCTGCTATAAGGCTCTGGAGGGTCTCCTCTCACAAGCTTTTTTGTTTTTTGTTCATCGAAATTCTTGTCAGAATTGCCCAGCTGAGGTCTGTCTATGCCTTTTTAATTAATTTTTTTATCATAAGAGAAAACTTTTTTTTATTTTGAATGTCTTTGTAATGTTATTCTAGTATTTTCAAAGTGTTGCAAAACAAAGGTGCAACACTAGTTTTTTGTCAAATTTAGGATTATGACAAACGCAGTAATCTGGATTTAGGGTAAATTTAAATTAAACAAATGTCCACTTGTCATATTATTAAATATTAAATATTAACTATACAGTGCATCCAGAAAGTATTCACAGCACTTCACTTTTTCCACATTTTGTGTTACAGCCTTATTCTAAATTGTATTAAATTGATCTTGCCTCAAATTCTACGCGATACCCCGTTATGACAAGTTAAAAAAAAAAAGTTTTTTCAGATTTTTGCAAATTTATTAAAAATAGAAAACTAATAAACTGCACTTTGTAAGTATTCACAGCCTTTGCCATGAAGCTCCAAATTGAGCTCAGGTGCATACTGAGTCCACTGGTCATTCTCGAGATGTTTCTGCAACTTACCGTAAATGGAGTCCCACCTGTGGTACATTCAGTTGACTGGACTTGATTTGGAAAGATGCACGCCTGCCTATAGAAGGTCTCACAGTTGACAGTGCATGTCAGAGCACAAACACCAAGTATGAAGTCAAAGGAATTGTCTGTAGACTTCTGAGACAGGAATGTGTTGAGGCACAAATCTGGGGAAGAATACAGAAAAGTTTCTGCTGCCTTGAACGTCCCAGTGAGCCAAGTGGCCTCCATCATTCACGAATGGAAGAAGTTTGGAACCACCAGGACTCTTCCTAGATCTGGCTGGTCGTCTAAACTGTGCGATCAGGGGAGAAGGGCCTTAGTCAGGGCGGTGACCAAGAACCTGATGGTCACTCTGTCCGAGCTCCAGCGTTCCTCTGTGGAGAGTGGAGAACCTTCTAGAAGGACAACCATCTCTGCAGCAATTCACCAATCAGGCTGTATGGTAGAGTGGACGGATGAATGCCACTCCTTATAAATGGCACATGGCAGCCCGTCTGGAGTTTGCCAAAAGGCACCTGAAGGACCCTTAGACTACAAGAAACAACATTCTCAGGTCTGATGAGACAAAGATTTAACTCTTTGGTGTGAATGCCAGGTGTCATGTTTGGAGGAAATCAGGCACCGCTCATCACCAGGCCAATGCCATCCCTACAGCGATGCATGGTGGTGACAGCATCATGCTATGGGGATGTTTTTCAGCAGCAGGAACTGGTAAAATAGTCAGGATAGAGGGATAGATCAATGCATCAATGTATACAGACATCCTGGATGAAAACCTGCTCCAGAGCACTCTTGACAGACGGGGCGCCGGTTCATTTTTCATCAGGACAACGGCCCAAAGCACACGGCCAAGATCTCCTAGGATTGGCTTCAGGACCACTCTGTGAAGGTCCTGGAGGGACCAAGCCAGAGTCCAGGCTTGTATCCTATTGAACATGTCTGGGGATATCTGAAAATGACTGCACAGACGTCTCCTATCCAACCTGATGGAGCTTGAGAAGTACTGCAAAGAAGAATGGGACAAACTGCCTAAAGATAGGTGTGCTCAGTTTGAAGCATCATATTCAAAAAGACTGGAGGCTGTGACTGCTGCCAAATGTGGATCAACAAAGTATTCTTAGTTCTCTATTTTTAATAAATATGCAGAAATCTCAAAAAATATATTTTGTCACTTTGTCATAATGGGATATCATGTGTAGAATGTTGAGGAAAGAGATGAAAACAATTTGGAACAGGGCTGCAACATAAAATGTGGAAACAATGAAACACTGAATAATTTCCAGATGCACTGTATTTATATATGAAAATGTAAATTATTATTTTAATGCCAGACAAAATTGTCTTATTTGAAACCTATAAAAGTGAAACACAAATCTCTTTTGATCTGTTATGCTAATATTTTATTTTGTCTTATTAATTTTCTACTTTGCAGGAATGGCATCCGAGTTTGGCGTTCGTGGATACCCGACGATAAAACTGTAAGTGCTTGAGTGGCTTCTTAGGTTTAGGTTAACTGTTGTTACTGCACTAATTTAATACTTGTTCCTAAGAAAGATGGTGTAAATCAGCAGCTTTCTTAAAAAACGTTCAACTTTCTGAAGTACCTATGTATAATTTTTTGGGAGCCAATTTTCATGAAGTTCACGTTTGTCGAATGAGCTCATCCTCATTCTATCAGGCAATAGATTTTTTATGGACTATATTTTCTGCTTTATTTTAAGTTTCCCCTAAAAGACTTTTGATATATCACTGTCTGTTCAATTCAAACACAATGTAATAAACGCCAGTCGTGTCCAGTCCACCCCATTTATTTCAAGCAATGTGTTACAAATCGAATATCTGTTTACTTTATTTGTTTTAATTAGCAACAATTTTTGTGAACATGTAACCTTACGCAATGAAAAATGACCAATGGCAAGATGCAGTATCAAATAACTAAGAAAAATATTTGTTTAGATAAAAATCACATTAATCACATACAGTAAGTTGTAGCTGCAAACAAATCAAGAACAAGAATATTCAGTGGTGCTTGTGAAGCCTTTATATATTTTTTTATATTTCTGCATCAATATGACCTAAAATATCATTAGATTTTTAATTTTTTTTACACAAGGCCTAAAAGTATATAAAGAGAACCCAGTTAAACAAGTGAGACAAACATATTATACTTGGTCATTTATTTATTGAGGAAAATGATTAAGTATTACATATTTGTGAGTAGTAAAAGTATGTGAACCTCTAGGATTAACAGTTAATTTGAAGGTGAAATTAGAGTCAGGTGTTTTCAATCAGTGGCTGATGATCAGGTGTGAGTGGGAACCCTGTTTGATTTAAATAACAGGATCCATCACAGTCTGATCTTCACAACATGTTTGTTGAAGTGGATCATGACAGGAACAAAGGAGATTTCTGAGGAGCTCAGAAAAAGAGTTGTTGATGCTCATCAGGTTGGAAAAGGTTACAAAACGTCTGTCAAGAGTTTGGACTCTACCGATCCACAGTCAGACAGATTGTGTACAAATGGAGGACATTCAAGACCATTGTTACCCTCCCCAGGAGTGGTGGACCAACAGATCATTCAAGGCGTGTAATAGTCAGAGAGGTCACAAAGAACCCCAGGGTAACTTCTAACAACTGAAGGCCTCTCACATTAATGTTCATGTTCATGAGTCCACCATCAGGAGAACTCTGCACAGCAATGTGGGCATGACAGGGTTGAAGGAGGAAACCACTGCTCTCCAACAAGAACTTGGCTGCTCGTCTGCAGTTTGATAAATATCACGTGGACAAGCCAGAAGACTGTTGGAAGAATGTTTTGTGGACGGATGAGACCAAAATAAAACCGTTTTGGTTTTGAAAAGTTTTATGATAGGAGAAAGGAAAACTCTGCATTCCTGAAGAAGAACCTTATCCCATCTGTGAACCATGGTGGTGGTAGTATCATGGTTTGGGCCTGTTTTGCAGCATCTGGGCCAGGACGGCTTGCCAACATTGATGGAACCATGAATTCTGAAAATTTCAGGACATCTGTCCATGAACTGAATCTCAGGAGAAGGTATATCATGCAGCAAGACAATGACCCTAAGCACACAAGTTGTTCTACCAAACAATGTTAATGTTTAAAGAAGAGTAAAGTTAATGTTTTGGAATGACCACACCAAATACGGAAAACAAAGGTTCACATACTTTTGCCACTCACAAATATGTATTACTGGATCATTTCCCTCAAAAAATAAATGACCAAGTTTAATATTTTTGTCTCTTTTGTTTAACTGGGTTCTCTTTATCTACTTTTAGGACTTGTGTGAAAATCTGATGATGTTTAAGGTCATATATGTAGAAATATAGAAAATTCTAGGGATACACGATATTATCTGGATGGTATCGGCCAATATTAGCGATAAAGTTAAATATCAGACATCGACCATTCCATCAAAATAACTCACCAACATAAAAAGCGCTGTTTATTTATATATGTGTATATGGCATAAAATTTAACATTGAATATTTAAATTTGACATTAAACATAATCCTAGTTGAAGTATTACATCATTTTCAGCCCCCTTTTTGGCATATGCATTTGGTAGCAGGCCAAAAAGACAAAGACCATGCAGAATAATGAAGTATTTTAATTCCACAGCAGAGAAAGCTATGTAGTCTCTGTAAGTAGGTCTAGGAAAAAAAATCAGTATTTGTATTGGATATAGGCCAAAAATCCTATATCGTGCATCTCTCGAAAATTCTAAATGGTTAACAAACTTCCAAGCACCACTGTATGTCATTTCTGTTTTTTAATAATAATAATAAAAAATAAAAATCAAAACTTCTTAATGGCTCTTAATATTAAAATATATACTCTAGTATCATTTTAAGACTAACCAAAACATAAAATTAAGGTGATTAAAAACTTATATATGAAAACGATAAAAAGAAAACATGATTGTCCTGCGGTTAAGACACTTTTCAATTACCTAATTTATAAACTGTGACAAACAACAGCTAAATATAATAAAACAGCCCACAGCTTTTGTGAGAACCAGATAAACTGAAGCTTCATGGAGGCTCAGAGTTTGTTCCCACAGAGAGTTAATTATCACTGACTCTTCATGGCGGCAGTTTTACAATCAACTATCAGCCAGTAAACACAGACTGTCTAATGAATTAAGCAAATAAACTTGTTTTAATGATATTACCGTTATCAGTAAAAGCTGCCTGCAGAGTTCTTGTCCCTGATATCTGGCTGTGCGTCATGACACACAGCCAATTTGACTTTCTGGGTTTAATCCCCCATTTTCCCCCGTTTGCCCCAGTTATTTTTGCATTAAGGTTCAAAACAATGAAGCCATGGCTGCTTAAGGTTTCTGACTGAACCAACAATAATTGGGGCGTGCAACAGTTTTCCTCTGTAGTCTCGCTCCGAGATACTTTTCCTGCAGGTTCCAGCTTTGAAAATTACATTTTATTGAGACAATAAGGACATGATAAACGTGTCTGTAGCTTTTAATTTCAGCCCAGAGCTGCCCGCTCAGAGCTGATTTTATTCTTGTCAACAGTAGAAAAAAACAACTTAGTCTCTCTCCCACAAACGCATGCACGCACACACACATATATAATCACCAATTGTTGGGAGTTGGACCAACCGTGCCTGATTGAAAATCTTAAGTTTATCACCCAATGCTACAGTCCATTATTTTCTAGTCTTATCCCCTTGGATACTTTGTCAAACTCAAGAACCACAGGCCAAATCTGGTCCCCCAAGATGATAATTTAAAGGTGAAATATTGTATTTCTTTAATTTTTTTCTTAAAAAAACACAAAACCCAACTGATAAATATGTATAGATGTATATACTTCTCTTGCCTGTTGGTTACCGTTGAAGCCAGAAAGACGACTGGATCATTCTGTCATTATTGATTCTGATGTGGAAAGAGTAACAGAACGTCAAGTGAGACTGATCAAACTCTTGTTGATGAACCTGCAACCAAGAAAAGATATCAGGTATCTGACTCGAGTTAGGATTTTGCCCTCTGCTCCTCATGTTTTTGCCTCCATTAGTGGTGTATCCCTGGTCCGATCTTTGCTGTTGTGTTTTGTCCCTCGAGGTTTGGCCTCTAGAGATGCCCTCAGATACCCAACTGTGTTCAGGAGAGAATAAGGTGGCGGTGTGTTTTCCTTAAGGCATATTAACTGACAAACTGTTCACACGTGTTAAACTTCAATTGGATTAAGTTTGTCTCTCCTGGATGCTGTCAATTGCACAATTCTGCAGGGGAAAATTATGAACGAAACCCAATCATATTAACAAGTACTGCTTGGTTTAATTTGCCTCCTTTTTAAGTCTAACGTTTCCTATCTGTTAGAACTGCAACTGCATTAACTCTTCCTGTTTCTGCTGATATCGTCTGTGTAACTTAGAATAAACTATTTCCTAAAGTGCAACATCTTTTTTAATTTCATAATGTATAACTTTAGGTAGATGCCGTCTGCTAAACAGCAGAACTCATGAGATGAGAAAAATGAGCGGTTTCCTACAATGTGTCTGAATATAAAGTGTTTTATCAGCGAACTACAAGAGTGGGCTCCCCATTTAGTTCCATCAAGCTCTTTTGGGAAACTGCCATATGATCACTGCAGGACTCATAACATTAAACCAAGCAAGTGATGAAACAACCATCAAAGAACCTCCCCTGATGACAGGAGACTTGATTTAGAGTTTATTTCCCCCTGAGCTCATTAAGCCCTGTGGGCTGATGCAACCTTGGCAAGACTTAATGCGCTCTGCATGTAAGAGGAACGTGGCACGACCACCTTCCACGGATGGAACTCAATTAGAAAACGTCATTTGTCTTATATTTCCACTGAAGGTACAAATGTTTAAAAGAAACAGATTTTTTTTTTAAATATAGATAGCCTTTTTTCAGTTTAGAGAAACAGGGTTTTTTAGTCATGTCTGCGTTGAGTAGCGTTTAAATCTGACACTGTTTTTAGAAATCTCTTCATCCACATGGAAACACCGATAACTGTTTTTAGCACTGTAATGCTGTGCCAAAATTACACCAAAAACAATTAACAAGGCATGGAGCATACACATAAAGCTTGCACGCTGGTTATGAAATGTAAACGCAACAATATGAAGATGTCCTCGGGACATAGGTTGGATTGGAGGTGGGGCTATAACATCATTTTTGTCCCCTGTCACGGAGTAAAAGGGAAATTGGAACTACCCTCTGTCCATGTTATGAGCATGAAAACTTGGAAAAATAAACACAATATTGACTTCCATTTTGGTGTGTGGCTGCATCTACATGTAAGAAAGTTTATTTTCAAAAATTGGTTTGCAGTGTCAAAATCCAAGATGGCCACCGCCATATACACATGTAAACTAGTCACCCCAATCATTCCTCAAATGACTGGGGTGGCTGAAAATTAATCTGTGGTGGCTAAGGCCACCCCTGTTTTCACCTTTGGGTCTAAATTG